GTATCCTAGGGAAACTCCTACACAAAACAGTGACCACTGAAGCACTGTTAGTAAGAGTAGAAAATGAGAAACAACCTAAATATCGAGCAAGAGGTAAATGGATAAGTAAATACTGTCCAAGAAAACTTTCTGTGACCATGAAGTGTTCTCTACCCATACTGTCTAATATGGTAGCCACCAGTCACAGATGCCTATTAAATGCACAAAATGTGACTAAGAGTGAGTAGGGAATTGAACTTTTTATTTAATTTTGATTAACTGAAATCTAAATAGCCATATGTGGCTAATGGCTACCACATCAGACAGCATGGTTACAGCAGTAGAAATAAATGAATTAGAGTTACATACATGTAAATGTAGATACACTGCAAAAGCATCACATTGGACAAAAAAAGTTTCACAAGGTAATGGCTGGGACTAGAGTGAAGCAAGCGGAGTGTATAGAGTGAAAATATTAGGAGGCACTCACCCTCAGGGTTGTACAGGTACAAGTTGGACACTTGGGTGACCCCGAGAGTGAACACCTCCTTAAATTTCAGGCCATAGGTGCCTTGCTCATCTCAACCTGTAAGTATATATCAGTATGCTACTGTGTCAGCAGTCCCCAAGATCATGCCAGGTTCAGTGATTCATTAGGAAGACTCACAGGATTTAGCATATAGCCTACACACAGCTATGGTTTCTTACAGTGAAAGGGTACAAAGCAAAATCAGCCAAGGGAAAAGACACAGGGTCTGAAGTCTAGAGGAAACCAGACACAAGATTTCAAGAATCCTCACCTAGTGAAGTCACATGGGATGCACTTGGTTCCTACAGGAAAGTTGTAACAACGCGTGTGAACTGTTGCCCACCAGGGAAACTTAGAGACTCAATGCCCAGAGTATTTATTGGGTGCTGGTCAAGTACCAAAATCCCAGAACCCAGAAGGAAAGGAGGTATTCAACATAAATCACATTGTACAGTTTAGGCACCATGAGGCACTCTTATTTACGGGATGACAGGAACCTTCCTGAAATCCAAGTTCCTAGAAGCCAGTCAAGGGCCAACCTTGCAAACGGGCCTTTTTAAAGACAGCAGTCTCACGCCTAGAATGGTAACTTTTTTGCACAGATTTCGTTTATATAAAATTGTAGAACATGATATATACTATATATTGTTTAAAGACTGTCATGTATATAATAAACATGTACAAACATGCACAGAAAAACAAACACCAAATCTAGGGTTGTAGTTACATCTGAGGAAAAGGGGAAAGGACTAGGTTTGAGACAGGGGTACAGAAGACCTTTCAACAGAATCTCTAATGTTTGATTCCTTAAGCAGGGTAATGGGTAAAAATTTGTTTTGTTGTAGCATTTCTTCTACCTTTCCAAATGTGTGTGCACCTGAAATATTACGTAGGAAGAATAAAGACTTATTACTATATACTACTAACAGTTGATGTTATAGAGTGCTTTTCACATTCCAGGTATTAAGCCCTTTACATGAATTTTTTTTTAAGATTTTATTTATTTATTTGACAGAGAGAGAGGCAGGAGAGAGGGAACACAAGCAGGGGGAGTGGGAGAGG